GTGTTACATTGCTTAACAGGGGGCTAACGTTAAAAAAAAATATACGAGAGAGGGGGTGTGCTTGTAATCTTGGACAAATGCAATCCAATTTCGGTAATTGAAACCCCCCCCCCCCCCCCCCCCCTTCCCCCAATAATGTATGTACGTAATTTGCTGTAAATTCTAAAATTTAGTGCTAGTTATTCCGATTACCATATAGACCACATTCTCCACGACTCGTTGAGAGATATAATAGCCTCATAGCAATGCTTTAAATTCGACACTCTGGCCAACTTTTCGTATATTCCCCATTTCTGTGTGTCATTCAATACAGTCTCACCCAATGTTTGTAAAACCGACCGGTTTGAACCAGAACTGGCCTGTTAGCTTGGAACCGCTAGCGTTTCGAGTCTGGTTAGGCATTGTTTTGGGTTGTAAGTAGTCCATAGAACACCCATGCAAAGTTTGAGGTCCAAAACCAACTGGTTGGGCCTCCAACTGGCCATTTTTATTTCTAATTGGCCGGTTTTTTGCTAACCAAATCGGTTAGCTGCTAAAACGGGTGTTTTTTTTTTAAATAGCCATTTGCATAATAACGGGCGTTATTTGCAAAATGTGGCCGTTATATATTATAAGAAGCCGTGATCCACCTTTTCCAGCTTTTTGGATTTGATTTTCTGCCCTTTTTTTTAATTTTTTAGTGCTTTATTGTTGTATAACACTATCAAATCTCTAAAAAACCGTGAATTTTGATTGAAATAACAAAAAATGAAGAGATTTGGGGATGGAAATGGTGGTTTTTCAAAGCTTTTAAAATTTCCGCCATTTTCTCAATAGAAGCTTCAATACCGAATAGATCTTAATGAAACTTAAGCATTCATCATATGCCTATTTCAATTTGTTCAGAAAAAGGAAGATTGAGGGTTGATTTCAGTTTGAACAATTGTTGCTCGCAGAACCTGTGTTCGATCCAAAAAACAGACTTCTGATTGATCTATTGCTCATTTTTTATCATACTAAGTTGTGTATTTTAATCATCAAGACTTCATCTGTCAAATACAGTAGATATAATTATTTAATATTGAGTAATTTTTTTTTTATGTGAATTTTTTTCTTGCGCGTTTGCCATGAAAATTTTATGAATTGAAATTTTCGCCATTTCTTGAAGAACATTCTCAATATTGAATGAATATTTATGAAATTTAGGGGTTTTGAATCCTAACCGAAGCATTTATCATATCCCTATTTCAAATTGTTCAAAAATGAAAGATTGTGGGTTGATTTTGATCTGAAAATTTAGGAGTTCTTGATGATTTTGGCTCGATTTTTTTGATAAAATTATGTTTTTTTATTTATAAAAAATATGATTTTTGTGATGAATTTGATAAAAAAAAATATTATTCCTTTTTTAATGTTATATATATTTTCTAACAAAAAAAAGAAGTGTATGATATAGTGCATGATAATGTTGCTCGATCTTTTTAGTTATTTTTATTAAGTGCGTAATGTAGTTGTACTTGCAATAATAAAGAAAAATAGTGCATCTTTTTTCATACGAATTGGATTTCTTTTTATTGTGGTTTAATTCTACTAGTTTGGGGACCCAAAATTTGGGTTAATTACTTGTTGCTGAATTATGTGGAAAGGGGGTTCTGGTTTGTTAAAACATTTGAGCTTTGTGAAATTTTGAGCTTTGTGGGGGTTCTGGTTAATTACCCAACATTTTTTTGTAAGATAAATGTATGTAATATCAGTATACACTTACGTTTGTCTATTTTTTTTAAAAAAAAATATGGGGGTCTTTGACCCATTTAAAAAAATAATAATCTACGGGACCTGTTGGTCTTGTTAATTGCTCGGTTAGTTCAGTTCCAGTTCTAACCTCTCCCAGCCCCATGCCCTATTAACCATCCCGATTTGATTTTGCGAACATTGGTCTCACCCAGTGTTAGGAAAACCAGCCGGTTAGAACCAGAACCGGCCAGTTAGATAGAAACGGCTAGGGATCCGAGTCTGGTTAGGGTCGGTTTTGTGTGTCTAGTAGCCTAGGTGATAACCACATAAAAATTCAGCCCAAAACCGGAAGGTTAGGGGTCGAACAGGTTGTATTTTGTTCAAACCAGCCAGTTTCAGGTAATCAGACCGGTTCGCCGATATAACAACGTTTTTTAGTAAATAACGGTAATGATAAATAACAACGTGATTTTGAAATAGGGGTCGTTATATGTAGTAGGAAAACCGTGAATCCAAAATTTCACCTTTTTTTATTTGTTTTCCAACATTTTTTGCCTTTTTCCATCTGTTAATGTTGTAAATCTCTATATAAACGAATATAAAACAATGCATTTGGATTTAAATATCGAAAAGAAAGAGTTTCTTGGATTGAAATGGCAAATTTTTTAGGTTTTTGAAAATTTCTGCCATTCTTTCAATAATCTCCTCAATACCTAATGGTTCTTGAATACATTTGAGGGTTTTGATTGCTATTCGAAGTATTTACTAGATTCATGTTTCAATTTGTTCAGAAAACCAAAGGTCATAAATTGATTTTTGCCCGAAAAGTTGCTGCTCAGAGAACCTGTGTTCAATCCAAAACAACAGATTTTTTATCCATTTATTGGTCGTTTTTTATCAAATTGAGTTGTGGATTTCGATCATTGAGGCTTCATATCTCAAATAGAATTAGTATGTTTATTTATGATTGAGTAAATTTTTTTATATGATTTTTTCGTTGCATGATGCCATGGAAATTGCATAGATCTGAAATGTCGACCATTTTATTAATCAAATAAAAAATAGGGAATATTTTTTTATGAGATTTGGTGCATTTGAAAGACGATTGAAGCCTTTACAATGCATATGTGTTGATTTGTTCGATTATCCGAACATTGAGGGTCGTTTCTTACTTGAAATATTGCTTAATTTTAGGGGTTTTTGAGAAATTGATTTTTCTAAAAAAATTATTTTCCTTAATGAAATTATGTTTTTTGATCAATGTGGGAAGATTTTTTTTTTTTTTTTGCTTAATAAAATTATGTTTTTAATAAAAAATTTATGTTTTTTTGATGAATATGGGAAGTGTTTTTCTATTTTGCTTAATAAATTTTTTTTTGATAAATTTATGTGTTTTTAATAAAAAAAATTTTATGATGAATATGTGAAATGTTTTTCTATTTTTCTTAATAAAATTATTTTTTATAAAATATTTTTTAATAAAATTATGTTTTTGATGAATATGTGAAAGTATTTTTCTCTTTTGCTTAATAAATTTTTTTGATAAAATTATTTGTTCTACTATTCTTATATGGAAATGCAAAACAATAGCAACAACTTATCCTGATTATGGCATCAAAGGATGCTACTTTAGTTTGCATTCTTGTAGAATAAATGTTCAATCTCCTATCTCTGTCTTAACTTATCATTATATTTTTGAGCAAAAAGATATGAAACCTCTCTCAAATTTTAAGTTTTAGATTTGATAGTAGGCTCGAGAAAAATCGTTATTGATCCACTTTGATCATCTACAAATTTTTTTTTTCTTAAGATTAATGTAGGTAATAAAATAATATACGCTAAATCTATGTTTTTCTTTTTTTGGGGATTTTGGCCCATTTTTTTTAAAAAAATTTTATCAGACAAGTTAGTCCAGTTCCAGTTCTAACCGCTTTAGAACAATGTTTACAAAATCGAATTGGAACGGTTAATCAAAGATCGGCTCAGAAGGGGTTTAACCGGCCTAATTGGTAACTGACCGATTCAACTGTTCTAACTGGGCAACTCCTGGGCAGTCAAAAAATGTTGAAAAAATAAAAAAATATACAAAAAAAATCTACTAAAATATAAGAAACATATAAAGAATGATTAAAACAAAACACATTCAGATGAAGTTGAAAATTAATAAAAGAAATGGATTTTACGGAATCGATTCGTGCCAAGGGTATTTTAAATTTTTTTTATAAAAAAGATGGGAACACATAAAAGTGAGTATTAATAACTAAAAACAAAATTTTAATCTTTACTTTGATACAAATAATATTAAAACATACATTACAAATCAAATTTTTTATTTTTAAAAATTTATATATATATATATTTAAATTATTATTTTTTAAATACCAATTGATCATGGAAACCGCCCAAAACAGGCCGCGAATTTATTAACCCCACGTGCGGTTGGTCTCAACTGAAAGCATCAAAGGTACAATGATCTACCTGATATTTCGCGTAATTTTGAAAGTCGGGAATTCGCGAAATTTAAAGGCCAGCCGGAATCGCTACCGAACCGAGACAAAAACCGAGCAAGAACTTTATAAATGAGATAGGGAGCGGCAATGCAAACTAGAAAGAGCGGGAAGGAAAGGAGAAGAGAGAGAGGGCCATGGCCGCGGGAGAAGCACCGAAGCATCTTCTCTCCCTACTCCGTGATTTTGCTTCTGAAAAGTCTCAAGGAGGTCATCTCTCTCTCCACTTTTCAGCATCCTCTCTCACCCCCTTCTCTCTGTGTTTCTCTTCATATTTGTGAATCCTCTATTTCTCAGAATCCTCTCTCTCTCTCTCTCCTTACTTCCAGAATCCTCTCTTCTCTCTATCCTCTCTCTCTCTCTCTCTCCTCTCCTCTCTTTCATACTCTCTCTCTTCTCTCTCTCTCT